CCCCCCTAAAAAAAAGACCAAAAAAACCCAAAACAACCCGCATCCCATTTCCCATTGCTTTTCTCACAAGAGAACATGGTGTAACCACTACGATGAAAAGAACAATGTTCTCTGCACTATTGTACGTCTGGTAATCCTCTATCCCACCCATTTTTCGGTATTCTTTTGTTTCTGTACTCTTTGATGAAATCGTTGTCCAGTTATACATCAGTTTGATAGGCAGCCAAACTGACACAAAAATAAATTCTTTCACGCTTTTATATCTCAGTCCCTATCAGGGGATATAGCTCAGTGGTAGAGCATTCGACTGCAGATCGAGAGGTCCCTGGTTCGAACCCGTGTGTCCCCTCATTATCTTTTTTGTTTTTTCTTCTTCTTAAAAAAAAAGAATAAATGAATAAATCCGGGGCTCTCGTGGACTTGCGGTTAAGGTGTTCGCCTCTCATTCATAGGTCCCGGGTTCGAATCCGGGTAGCGACTGAAACATTTTCTTCTCTAAAACTGTCTCCTTTCACCTCCTTTCCTGCTCTTTCGTAGTGTTCTGTCGTCTGCTATCGTCTCCACTTTCTGCCCCGCCCCCTCACCTCCTTTGCCCCTTCCCCTGGGCTCCTGACTCTTTCTGCAGCCTTTCTACTTTCTACTGCTTCTCCTTGGCCCCTTCTTTCTACTGTCTTTCAGCTTCATCCCCGATCTTCTGGTAGGAAAGATCTACACCTAACCTTCTCGGACAAGGGCGAAAAATCTCGGAGGTCCCATGTGCAGGTTGGGTTCGTTAAAGATTCTTTGGTGGTCTAAAATCGTTAAGAGTAGATTTCGGCCACCACCCGGGCAAAAACTAAAATTTCCTGCCAACTGAAAAATGTTTAGTGTGCCCTGCGCTTTCATATGGCCGTATGCAGTTGCGAGCGCCGTAAAACACTAACCAAAAAACACTTTTTTAAATTCTTCTTCTTCGATACTTCAATAAAATCGTTGCACAAAGTTTTACATCAGTTTGATGCATGGTCAGACAAACCGACACAAAATAAATTCTGTCACGCTTTTATATATCAGTCCCTAACAGGGAATATAGCTCAGTGGTAGAGCATTCGACTTCAGATCGAGAGGTCCCTGGTTCGAACCCGGGTGTCCCCTCATTATTCTTTTTGTCTTCACATTTTGTCAACAACAAAAATCGTTTGCTATTCATTATGTAAAGAGTGTTCAATGTGCCCTCTAACTCCTTTCCTCATGCCGTTCAGTTTTCCCTCTCTCTCAAAAGAATAATTATGTTGTTACCACAATGAGGAAAAGGAAATTGTTCTGTGCACTATTTAAAAAGTTAAGTAGTCTGTCCACCACCCCTCCTTGTATTTTCCATGTTGGTTCTTCCCCTCTTCTTCTTCGATATTTCGATGAAAAAATCGATACACAATTTTACATCATTTAGATGCATGGTCAGACGAACGGTCGCAAAAATAAATTCTTTCACGCCTTTATGTTCCAGTCCCTATCAGGGTTTTCATTATCCCTGTCTAAGTGTCAAAGAGGTATGTCCAATACGTAATTTTGTTAAAATAACTTCAACAACTCTTTTGGAGAGACCTGACGGTTTTCGTGGGCCCAATTTGGGCAAAACATAGTCGAGTTTATAATTTGTTTATTTGTTCCTTTCATCCCCTCACAAACTGGAGATGTAGTATTTGTTTAACTTGTCTGTGGGAGGTAGTCTGTCTCCCTTTGGTTTCAACAGGAGCACTTGATTAACTTCGGTAGTCTTCTTTTTCTTCTTCTTCTTCTTCTTCCTCTTCTTCCTCTTCTTCTTCTTCTTCTTCTTCTTCTTCTTCTTCTTCTTCTTCTTCTTCTTCTTCTTCTTCTTCTTCTTCTTCTTCTTCTTCTTCTTCTCTTCTTCTTCTTCTTCTTCTTCTTCTTCTTCTTTATTATTGCTATAATTATTGCTATTATTATTGTTGTTATTATTATCATTATTATTATTATTAATTAATTAATTAATTAATTAATTGGTTTGTTTTTGTTAAATCACGAAAAAATTCTATTATTATTATAATATACAATTATTATTATGAAACTGAGGTATTTTCGTGCTCCTACTCACGTCAATCTTGCTGACCCCGTCTTTGAGCTTGTCTGTGATTTCCATCAGCTGTTTGGCCTTTGCCATGAACCCTTCCTCTCCCAAGGACTGCAAGGAGGCCCAGGCGGCGGCGATGTTACTGCCTAGAGGTCAGACGGCAAAGGGGAAAGGGTAAAAGGTAAAAGGGTGGAGTTTATAGTTCGTTGGAAGTACATGACGTAGTTTATTTTGTGGAGTTTGTGCATGTGTGTTATCGAGCACGCCCGCGCGCATGTGTGTGTGTGAGTGTGTGTGTGTGTGTGTGTGTGTGTGTGTGTGTGTGTGTGTGTGTGTGTGCGCGAGAGAAGTATACATGTACAAACTTCCTAAACAATAAAGCACCACCACAACCCCCACTACCACAACCACCACCAACAGCAGCAGCATTAACAACAACAACAATAATAACAATAATAATAATAACAATGATAATAATAATGATGACGACGACGACGACGACAACAACAACAACAACAACAACAACAACAACAGCGACAATGACAACAACAATAACACACCACAAACAACAACAGCAAAAAACTACTCTGTTAACAATTCCGAGACAATGCGAAAGTTCTGCCATCAGTAGTACAATCCCTCACCTGGTCTGCTGCCCGCCATGGAAGGACTGCCGTAAAGACCCCCGGGCCATCCGCCGAAAGTGTAGATCTGCTGTTTTCTCAGCTCATCATGGCGATACAACACCACACTGGCTCCCTGCATATATAGGATTTAATATTATGAGTATGAGAAAGTATTTTTGTTACCTCCTCTAACATTCATTGAAGAAACTACTTCATGAAACGCCGTCTTGATTGTTCGTGCCTCCTATTCATAGTGTTCTGATGTTCATATTATATTTCACGCCAGAGTGAAATCAGACGCTCGATAACTTTTGGGAATATGGAGTTATTTGTATACATCTAAAGCCTGTTCATTTTTCGTATTTCGATTTTAAAAAATACCCATCTATCCTGAGTAGAAGTCGAGATATTTTTTGTGATTGAAGGAGGTAGGGTTCATCTGGTGACACAGGTGAAATTAGCGAGGAAATGGAAGCAGAGTTTGGTGACTTCCAAAGCTTGAGTGTCCCTCTAAAATACAAATTTACATTTTTGTGTGTTTGATCAACGTTTTTTAAAGTAAAATCCACACATACATGTTTTTTTTAATGATCAGAAGATACAGTAGCCGCAGGTGCAGTTGTTTATTCGTAAAAAGAAAGAGGATATGACTTTGTGTTTAAATCTCTCTTGAACGGACATAAAAAACGAAGGGATTTAAAAGACGAGAATATTACAACTTAAACGTCCCCAATGTAGTCTTAAGCTTGTTCAATTAAAGAAGAATAAAGATTGCACATTGTCTGAGCACCATCGTTATAGAATTTCTCTACAATAGAACCTGCCTTAACCCTTTCACTGCCAGACCTGAGAATTGAGAGAGGGAGCAGAGTAAAAACGAATTCCTGCGTTAAAAAAAATTCCAGTCCCTAGGAATATTCATTCTTAGCTTTAGTAATAGATTTATAGCAATTGCAACACAAATCACATGACATATAAGAGCGCACAACAACAGCAAAAGCAGTAGCAGCAACAACAACATCATCATCATCAACAACAACAGCAACAACAATAACAACAACAACAATATTAACAACAGCAACAGCACACAAAAAAGTAGGAAAGATAAGGACAATAGATGCTTGATAGGAAAGGAGAAGTGAACCATACCAGAGCACTCGCCAACCACCCGCGATTACAAATTCACTGTAGGCTCCTTTTTGAAAGAAGAATGTTTATAAATTTGGTGATGTCGTTTTCCCCTCTCATCCGACACCCCAATACAAAATGTAATTGCAAACATACTCAACCCCACAACGTAAGCGACAGTGAGCTGATCTCGTGGAGATGACCTTTGTGTTTTCCAAACACTGCCCTGCCCTGCACCCACCAGTTTCCCATTTCCTTTGTCCCGTTCGTAGATGGAAGTCCCGCTTCTAAAATGTCCATATAGTGTTGATAGGGACGTTAAACCTATACCATTTCACCCTTTTTTCACCTTGACAGTGTATCCATATTTATGCAAATCAGCAGAGATTGACGTCACTCCAGGACACCGGAAGTCCCATTCAGGCACTTGGTATCCCAGCTTCTCCACCCTGAAACAACCAGAAATAACAACTTGCAAGTAAACTATAAAAATTAAAAATAAATTTCGCTCCCCCCCCCCTCCTCAGTTCTTAAGATTACATGTATAAGTTTGAAGCGCTTTTATCGCACGGGAACATGGCGACCCAAAATGTGACCCTACAGTGAATTGAGAACCCAGATATGCCTAACAGTTTCATGTGTAGCAGGTCAGATAACTTACGAACGGGGACTCTTATTTTTATCTGACCCTGTAAGACATTTCCTTACCCAATCATTGCAAAATTCCATCTACTCAGTATTTAGTTTTGAGAAATTTTACGTTAATAAAGTGAGTGTCACAACATGCCAAGCTTTTTCGAATACAATTCTTTGAATTTCTTAATAATCTTACGATTTTGATAGAGCAGATAGAACATTTGGTTTCTAACCTCATGGTCTGAGTGACTCAAAATGGCCAATTTTGTCATAAAGAACTTTGTAATTCTAAAGTAGCTAAATGGCTGTTCGCAGTTTGCAAGACATTGATGCCTGCGGCTGCCTGGCTAAGAAAGAGAAATACTGTAGAAAAAGTGAGATGGATAGATAGATAGATAGATAGATAGATAGATAGATAGATAGATAGATAGATAGATAGATAGATAGATAGATAGATAGATAGATAGATAGCACTATAATCCAGCCAAGATAATTACATTTTCTACTCTCGCCACTAAAACATAATAAAAGACAAATAATAATTTCCACTCACAGTAGCAGCAGTATCCAAACAACATGAATTCCCCAACCCACACAACGGCTAAAATATTTTCAACAATGAAAAGATATAAATCAAACGAAAAAAAAACCCAAGCATCAAACAAATGATATATGTAAAAGGATAAGAAGAATTTTGTAGTCTCTACCTACACTCACCAGGGTAACATATAGCCGCCAAAACACGCGTCTACGTGACACATCAGTCCGTGTTTGGCCGCCATGTTGGAGACTTCTCTCACTGGGTCAACGATGCCGTGGCAGAACTGTGGGGCTGAACAGCCAATCAGGATCGTGTTTGGGCTCAAGGCCTGTCATCGACAAACGGAGATACTCGATTAAAAAAACAATACAACAAAAAACAGCCCCCCCACTAAAAAAAAAAGACCCAACCTCTTCTCATAGGAAGCGTACTCTCTTCTTCTGCATGTTCCCGCAAATTAAGAGTTCAAGTGTTACATCAAGGACACAGGCAGACTGATAGATAGATAGATAGATAGATAGATAGATAGATAGATAGATAGATAGATAGATAGATAGATAGATAGATAGATAGATAGATAGAAAA